ACTTCTATATGGACCTTGATAAATGTCCATGGGAATGCATTGGCAATGCCAGGGGCATGAGAGCTCTTCCTGCCAAGGTCTAGGAAAGCAGAGACTAGTCTAGTTCAGTTGAAAAACCACCTTGCAAAGTCTACCTTGAATGACACTGTTTGGCATTAAACATTTACAAGATTATTTATACCACCTCTCTGTTTGAGGTTTAAAGTATATCTTTTACCATCAATGTACAGTATACAATGCCTAAGAATTCTATAGGATGCCAAAATAGGATGTCAAAGTATTAAACACTTCATATTTAACACATTTCCTAGGCATGCTATGCAAAGCCAAAAGGTAAACTGGCAAAGTCTAGAATACTCTGCCTAGTGAGGTTTTTATTGTCATGTGGTGACTTTCAAAGCTCGCCTCAAATGGAGAGTGAATATTTGCAAGTCAGTCTTTGTTCGGCAGTGGTGAATAATGCAAGTTTTAATTTGTGAAGCAGACACAAGCCCATACTGTGCTGTATGAGAATGGTGGAGCAAAGTGTAGTGTCTGGGCAATTTTTGAATAAAGATCTTTTCTTTACTCTTTTTTTTCATACTTTGCCTAAATAGTATTAGTCATTCTGTATAATGCATAGGTATTATCTACAATTCCTAGGGAAAGTATGTAGCATATTGAGATAACACAGACATTTTATGCTTTGCCTAAAAAAGTCACACATTCTATACAATGCCTGCTTTTCACACATTGACAGCAACACCTAAAGCCAAACCCCTTTTCTTTGTATTTTGGATAAGATGAAGAAGGGTTAATAACACTTGCTGCAGTGACAGCTATCTAACAGGGCATTTTCCATATTTTGGATAGAGTTCTTATTTTCTGTTATGTCTACAGAATAGTAAATGAAGGAAAATCCCCCCCCCCCCCCCCCCCCAAAAAAAAGAAAAAAGCTAGCAGGCGTTTTAGCCATTTCTACTCTGTCCAGAAAAAACAAAAAAAAAACTTTTGGCTTTAGACACTGTATAGTTTACGACTACATATTGTACAAAATGACATAAAACCCGTCAAATAGTAGTTTTTGTTTACCTGTGCGCTTGTGCAATAAATACAAGTCAACTGAATTATTACCCAGGTGACATTGCATGCCAAGGAGCCAATCTTTCCCACTAATAAGTGACACTCCTTCCTAAGTGGTGTGTATTTACTGCCTATTAAACTAAAATCAAGGTCACAAATGTATTGAGGTTTTAGACAGCTATAAGTCTCCAGAGCTGTTTATTTTCAAAGCAACCTCCTGCACACAATGAAATCAAGAGAGTGCTGCTTGCAAGGCCAGGATCAGACACATTAAACTGAGCTATGCTATCGATCGAGAAATTGGCTTCTTTATAAAATTCATTTTGTTTGTTCTCTCTGAATTCAAAATCTGCAATTACATACCCTATGGTGTGATGGCTCAGCAGAAAACGATTTAACCCTGCATGTATAAAGCTATAGAGGGTCTCTTCAGCAAATCAGTGGGTTCACTAAAAACAAGCCTTGACAAGCCAGTGCAATTATAAAGAACCCTGCAAATTACAGTACCAATAGGAACAATGTAGGAACCTCCTGGCTGGAACTCGTAGTCGAACCCTCCAGCTAGTGGCCTCAAGTAAAACACGTCACTCTGGGACTGGGTTGTTGAAGCAGTTTCAAGCCCAAATGCATAAGGTAGACCTCAGTGTCTGCTCACGGGCACGGATGGGACGCATACTGAAGTCCAAGACAACGCATACTACATCCTCCTAATCTGCATCTCTTCTGATCCCTCTTTACACCTGAAGCACACTCTCTTGCAGGGCCCTGCACATTCCATGGTTCAGGCTAGGGCTGCAAGGTTAGTCCAAATGTCCAAAGGTCCAAAGGACATTCAAAGTAATAGGCATAAACAAGTTTTGGAGGCCTTACACTATATAGAGTGATTAGTTATAGGGATTATTTGTAGATACACATCCCTTCTATACTGTATTTTAATATTGGAATATATATATATATATATATATATGCGCCTACCTACTCTATCTTTATTTCCAAAATATGGCTAAAGGCTACACAGTTTTTGATTGTACCATTAGTGCTATACAGGAAGGGGTTACTGTACCACAGATTAGGGCTTCATCGAGCTCTAGGCTTTCTGACATCTCCAAGAGGGAAAGGCTGCTACATGGCTGTCTTCTCCTTCCTGAGCTCCCATGTACCACAACTCCTCCACCTTGTAAGGGAAAGGACGGGACCTCTGAACGCTACATGCACTGGGGGAAGTAACTTCACTTTAAAAGGGAACCCTTACTACAACCACAGTAGAATTCCTGACAAAGGAAAATTCAGAAATACAATTGTAAAGTCAAGATAAAGCCATTCCCTGATTTTTTTTTTGATGACCCTCAGATATTATCCTAATTTTGTGGGTAACAACAATATTTATATATATGTGTGTGTGTGTGTGTGTGCAAAGATTAATATGAAAGAAAACAGCATTGTTAAGATAAACTGTACATGTAGATACTGTATATGGGTTTCTTAAGTGATATTTAAATCTCAACATTCTCTATTTAAGCTTAGCCTTGCCACCTCCTGCCACCACCTCCTAAACCTTCAGATTGTTTTTATTCTATATGAAGGAGTGTCTTACTTGTTTTAGATAGAGCAGCTTTCATGTTTTTTGCTACTGGGGAGATGGGGAGAATTTTCCTCACTTCCTATCAGTACAGGAAGTGATGGGAAATATATGCAATTTGGGGAATAGACAAAAGCAAAACACATATTTAGGAGAGTAAGGAAGGGTCAAAACTTCTGTTTTTGTTTGTGATTTCCTGACCCAGTGACTACTCCCCCCCCCCCCTTTTCCAAATTTCTTGCTGGGGAGGCACAGGGCAGGTGGTGATTGAAAAACTAAAATAGGAAAAACTGACAGTAGTTTTAAGTCTTCCCCAACCCATTCAAAAAATAAAAAATAAAAACTTTGGTGGCAGTTGGGCTTCTGGTTACAACAGCTCTACTTTGCCCAAAAAATGTAGACCAAAGTTGGGCTTTAAAATATTACTAGCTGGACTAAAGAGGTAGTACTATATCCCAGTATGTAGTTTTCTCCAATTGGGAATTGGAATTGATAAACATTTATGATGGCCCCAATATAAGAATCTAGTGTTAAAAAATCCTGGTGCTGTGATACCTCCAGGGGCGGACTGACAACTCATGGGACCCCCGGGCAATAGGGGATCATCGGGCCCCTGTGTCTTTGCCCAGACTCAAAAAAGCCTATGAAAAAGGTACCAAGGGCATCTCATGGGGCCCCCTACTGACCCCGGGCCTTCGGGCAGTGTCCGAGTTTCCAAATGGTCAGTCCGCCCCTGGATACCTCATTAGTATCTTAACTACGTCTCAGAGAAGGTCCTAAATCAACCTCAAGCTAATCAATAATAAAGTTAAAGAACACTACAATCCTAACTGAAAACTAATCATTTAATGTGAATAATTCTAATTCATCTTCGCTGCAAGTTATTTGCTGCCTCTCACACAGCCAGCAGTACATCTGGAAGCTGCAAATGTGAGATGATTATATATAACTCAGATTAAAGAGGGTTTCTAGTATCTGTTTGAATTTACTCAGTTCACTTTTTGTTATTGAAAAAACAGGTTGCACATATACTACAGAGGAAATGTTTAAGCACTCTTGCACATGGCATTATATTAGGTGTATGGTCATACAATCCACTTGGTATGGCTCCCAGGAGCCACAGCTGCAGCGCACTTTTGGCCATAGACATACATTGCAAAAAAAGATGCATGTGGCTCCACACACACAAAAAAAAGTTTTACGTTAAAAAAAATATATATATATACCTGCATAGGCATATCTAAGGGCATGAAATAAGTTGCGTTTTGTGGTCACAACAAGCGTATTTTACTCTGCGCAGCCACATGCCTAATATACTGCTCTGCGCAAGAGTCCATCCTGCATTATCATTTCCGCAACTAGTGCTTTCTGTGCTGTTTATATTTGTCCTTCACATGAGTGGGTGGGTAGTTCAATCAGATCACTGTCTTTCCTGCTTCCATTCCAAAAGATGATCAGTGCTAAAACGTCACTACTCATCATGATATGCCTCACAAAGGAGCATAAATCAGTCTGATTGCTCTGTTGTATAAGTTGTATTGCTTTAGAAGGGCTCATACAAAAGTTGGACTGGCAACAATACAAATCATTTCTTTCTGTGTCATTTAACCTGCATTTTCTGATAGCTTCAGCTAACAACATAAAGACTGTAAAGCAATAGTGTACTTAGCAAATATGGGATTGGGGGGGCAATCATTCTGTAACATTTGTACATTTGTATCAGTTTCTAACATTCGTAACAGTTTTGCCACACCCACAACTGTGAGAGGGGTATAGTTAAATAAAACCTGAACCTACTCCTAGCACACACAGCACACATATTCCACTTTTCAGCACTCTGAACTGCCACAGCAGGTTCTGATTCTCTGGGGGTGCTGTGTCCATCCAAATTTTTTTTTGTGTGTGTGTGTGTGTATAGCATGACGCTGCGGGCAGCCATAGCACATCAAGAGAATCAGCACCCAGGGCGGACCCCACCCCCCCTTAAGTACACCACCATTGTAAAGCAATAACTTTGTAGTCTGCATTGATGGAAAACATGGTGTATGCTGTATTTTCTACTTAAGTAAGCTCTAGCACAGTTGCCAGTATTCTTAACTGTCTATCTCTCACTTAACTAGTTGCCGACCGCAGATAGCCGAATGACGGCTTCACTGCGGCCGGCCAGTTCTGAGTGGACGTCATATGACGTCCCCCCAGAACGCGCTCTCCTGCGCGCCCCAGGGGGCGCGCACCCGGCGATCTCCGTGATCGCTGTGTCCTACGGACACAGCTGATCACGAGATGTGGTAAAATGCCGATCATACCGGCCTTTTACCACGTGATCAGCGGTGTCCAATGACACGCTGATCACAGGGAAATGCAAGTGCCGGTTCTCGGCTGCACTTTCCTCACGCTGTCAGATCGTGAGGAAAGTACTGCCGAGAACCGGCAGTTGTCAGAGCGAGGATCGGCACCGATCATCAGGGCCACTGATGATCAGTGCCCTGATGATCGGTGCCCAGCAGTGCCACCCACAAGTTCCGCCCAGCTGTGCCCAGCAGTGCGCCCACTAGCTCCGCCCACCTGTGCCCAGCAGTGCACCCACCTGTGCCCAGCAGTGCATCCCACCTGTGCCACTCTGCAGGTGTGTGACCTGTGCCCAGAAGTGCCACCTACCTGTACCCAGCAGTGCCACCCACCTGTGCCACCCACCTGTGCCCACCAGTGCCACCCACCTGTGCCCACCAGTGCCACCCACCAGTGCTGCCCACCAGTGCCACCCACCAGTGCAGCCCAGCAGTGCTGCCAGTCAGTGCCACCAGTCAGTGCCCAGCAGTGATGCCAGTCAGTGCCATCTATCAGTACCCATCATCAGTGTCACCTATCAGTGCCGCCTATCAGTGCTGCATATTAGTGCCGCCTATCCGTGACACTTCATTAGTGCTGCCTATCAGTGCCGCCTATCCGTGCCACCTCATTAGTGCTGCCTATCAGTGCCCTTTAGTGCTGCCTATCAGTGCCCATCAGTGCCGCCTATCAGTGCCCATCAGTGCTGCCTCATCAACGCACATCAGTGAAGGAGAAAAAATACCCGTTTGAAAAATTCTATAATAGAAACAAAGAAACTTTTTTTTTTTTTTTTAATTTTTTGCACATTTTTAATTTATAGCGCAAAAAGTAAAGCGCCCAGTGGCGATTAAATACCACCAAAAGAAAGCTCTATTTGTGAGAAAAAAATGATCAAAATTTCATATGGGTACAATGTTGCATGACCGCGCAATTGTCAATCAAAGTGCGGCAGCGCTGAAAGCTGAAAATTGGCCTGGTAAGGAAGGGGGTATAAGTGCCTGGTAGGCAAGTGGTTAATTAAAACTGAACTTAATGAAAAGGCACAGGGGCATGCTGGGTCGATGATATCAAAAGGGGGCGGGGGTCACTTAATGATGTCATTGGGTGGTCCCGCCCTTTAGTTTATTTAGCGCCAGGAGGTGGCAGAGCTGTCAGATGGCGGGACCTAGGTGAGGACCTTTGCGGTTTTTGCTACTCAATTTTAACACTTTTTTGGCGAATGAGTAGGGGTACTATGTGCTCCATACTCATTCATGTGGGGGGGGGGGGCCCTCTTAAAGGGGGCATCCAAATTCTGAGAAGCCCCCTACCTGGGTTGTTGGGAAGAGACCCTTGTTCCCATCAACATGGGGACAAGGTGCTTTGGGGGCATGTGACCTGGTATGATTCTGGGGGGAGCAAGCCTGACATGCTGGGCTGCATGCTCAGATAAGAGTCTGGTATGGATTTGGGGGGGACCCCATGCTGCTTTTTTTAAGTTTTGGCATGGGGTTCTCCTTAAAAATCCATACCAGCCTTTTTTTTTTTTTTTGCATTCCGCTGGCAGTGGGGAACCCAGCTGACAGCAGATGAGTCATCGTTGTTAGGGATGCGGCGGCCACTCACTCCTTAACAACCATGATAGTTACTGGTTCTTCAGGACACTGGCTATCACATGTGTTAAATTACTGCAAGTTTTCACTACTAAAACACTGCATCACTCCATAAAATAGCTTATGCAGTACTTTAGTAGCGTTTTTTTAGTGAATTGAAAAATTTTTTTTTAAAACACTAAGCGGTATTTTTTTTCTGCATTTCTTAAAAGCGGTAGATACTGCTTTGTGAATGGAGCCCAGTATTCTAAATGAGATTTCACAAAAAATCTATATAGGGGAATCAGGACCTCCTTCCTCTTGCTGGTGACCCCTCTAGTGATTCATCCTAGAATTCTATTCACTATATATGAGAATGGGACAGCCATGAAAGAGAGGCTCATCACAATAAAAATAAAATGGACACTCCAAAAGAATTTGGTTCCAGGACAGAAAAACGTGGGCCATGAACGGCTTGCTTGCAGACAAATATACCTTTGCCTCCTCTTCATATAAAACGTGGACTGATGAAAAATGTTCTGAAAGCGATTAACGAGGAAGGTAAAAGGTTTTCCTTATTAGAGATGGTAGAGAGAGATGTCTCCAAGAATAACTGATGCCAAGATTAAGGAAAGTAATTTTATCTGTCCACAGATTAGATATATCATCAATGACAAGTTCAAAGATCTGTTAGTGGGGCCAGAGAAAATTGCCGGGTAAGCATTGGTGAGAATTTTATTGGACACTACAGAGCACCAAGCTGCATTCAGCTGGTTGACAAACTTGTTACAGCATACAAGACCATAAAATGCAACTGTCCACTGAAAACTCAAATTCTGTATTCACACTTAGTCTTCTTTCTAGGTGCAGTCAGCAGTGAAGATGGTGAAAGGTTTCACCAGGTCATTGCCACAATGGAAAAATGGTATCAGGGCAACTGGAATCCATCGATGCTGTCTGACTATTATTGGACACCGAAATAGGATACACCAGACACTGGGTACAAACGAAAATCAGCAGCAAAACATTTTTAGCCCTGTTGAACTCATTCAGCACATTGGAAACATTATGTGATTAAATACATCTTAGTTATTAAAGGTTAATTTCCTTAAGTTAAGATTCCTACATCATTCTGAAATTACATTTGTTTTCAGTTTGAAGGGATCTATCATAATCACTAAATGGTTTTTTTTAGAAAGCAAAACATTTGAAAAAATGTGTTGTCCAGTGATATTATGTGTAGCTTTTGACATCAGGGGCCACACTTCAGGCCTCCTGTAAATTGAAAGTTGACTGTTACTGATGTAAACCATGACATTTGCAGGCAAACCTCACATACATGCCCAATACCACAAGTTATGTGGTCACCGGATGCCCTAAACATTAATATATTATTGGCTTTGTGGAAACCTACTCCAATGATGGGTGGAGGAAATGCTATGTACATACCTACAAACTATCAATGTCCTCTTATTTTAAAGAAAAAAATGACAAAATCATATTCCTCTGATACCGCACTCCCCTAACATTACGTCAGATCTACCCAACAGCACCAAGCTGTTTTTGGAGAAGTTGTCATTAAAGTGTTACTAAGCCCAGGACCCTGCATCCACCATATCTGTCTCCCCGGACCCTGCATCCACCATATCTGTCTCCCTGGACCCTGCATCCACCATATCTGTCTTCCCGCACCCTGCATCCACCATATCTGTCTTCCCGGACCCTGCATCCACCATATCTGTCTCCCAGGACCCTGCATCCACCATATCTGGTCTCCCACAGTAGAAAGGTCATGGAAATGCAATCATTTTAGTAACTATAAACTGCTAAATACCTTTTCTCATCAGCAGTTAGAGCAGCCTTGTGACTTCTATCAGTGTCCAGCTGAGCACTGGTTAAAGGAGGAGTTTTAATTCTTCTCTCACTCTCCTATGATGCTGCAGGACCCCTGACTCTCTGTCTGGACAGTGCTGATTGGCCCTGTGCTGATCACATGCACCCTCCCAGGAAAAAAAAAAACTCTCTAGCAATACACACTAAACTGAGCATGTGCAGCTTGCCCCCAAGGCTCTGTTCTATCAGCAGAGAGATTGGGGACAGTAGAAGAAGGGGAGTATCAGAGCAGACAGGATCAAATATCCTTTTCACACGATGTGGAGGATTAGCCCCTTAGGTTCCACAGTGAGTTTAACAAGCATGCTTTACTGCATATACAGACTGATTTTACTGTTGTGGGTTTAGTAACACTTTCATGATGTATCTGCTTTGTGGAATGATCTGTGGACAGATGAAATTACTTTCTTTATTCTTGCCACCAGTTTTTCTTGGAAACATCTGTCTCTAATAACAAAAACCTTCACGTTCCTTGTTTATTGCTTTCACAACATTTTTCAATATTTTGAGTTTTATATGAAGAGGAGGAGGATATATCTTTGCGGGTCAACAAGTTAAAACTTAAATAAGTTGTGCTATCCCTTTAAAGGTGCATGAACAAGTAACAATAAAAACAGTAAAAGACTGTGTAAATAACAGTCAAAATATAGTGAAAAATGTGACCAGAGACTTTGTTCAGCAATATAGTGACAATCACAGTTCAAAAAGTTCAATGGGTGTTCTTGGTAATAAAATTGCAAACGTGCCAAACTAAAACACTCCAATTTCAGTGATCAACCACAATAGATCTGCCTGTCAGTTTTTCAGGTAAACCTGACCAGACCCTCCATTCACCCATATGGACCAGAGGGTGTAAAAAAAAAAAAAAAAGGAAGGCAGATCGGAGGGTGTTCAGTTGTAAATGTACAGCAGAGTCCATTTAGACCCAGCTGCCCAAGGAGCAGACTGGGCTCTGTCCAAAACTGAGTCCACCCCGTGTGAAAGGTGCCTTACCAGACGCACAGGACCTCCAAATAGTGAGATCATGGGCACTTATGTAACACTGGAAGACATGATCACCTCAACTAGAGTATCATGTGTAGACCATAAAAAAGCAATCAGAAATGGCACATAGTGTAATGCCATTTAAATAGCAATGGTATTGTTTAAAAACAATGGATACTCACAAGAGTAGAATTATCAACTACATGGAAATGGAAATCTCCACCCACCGAGGGGTGTGATGACACCAGCTTGTGAGGCTTAAATTGACATGTTTCATCACAAGGGGACATTGTCAGGGGCCCGTGCATCATGTGTATTTAACACTCTGGCTTCCCCACAGGTTGCTACCAAAATAAAACAATTCCTCCTGCGCATGGGTGTGATGAACCAGGGTAAATCGACAGGATCCCCTATGAACCCAAAATCCGGGGATGTTGAGGCCTTGCTGCCCTCCTACAACTGGGGGAGTCCAATAAACCAATGGGGATAATGCACTAGGCTGGTGCGCCTTTCTTTCTTTTCTTTTTTCCCCCCAGGTTGCCCTTCTGTCAATGACACAGCAATGTCTCTGTGGATTATACAAGGTAGCATGAGGCTGCATGGCATAGTGTCTATAGACTTTAACAACAGAGAGTCTAGCAGAGAATTGCTACCTCAGTAAAACAGTATGAAACACAAACAGATACTTATAATTATCCTCATCAACAGAGTCCCTCAAAGTAAAGTCCAGTGTAGTTCTGGTAGCACAGGTGAAAAGATGGATGGATCCAAAGCTTGAGGATTAAGCATCATCCCGCTGAAATTGGTGTACGCTAGTAGCAACTGGGGAGTGGCCACACATGGCAGTTGGGTCTTTTGTAGAAGCTTCTGGCCTGCCTGCCCTCACACCGGGTCTAACGGTAGAGGACCTCCAGGAGTTGCAGGAAATGGAGGTAAATAGGTCCACACCTGCATCTGAGCATAAAGAGTAATTGGGCAGTCTGCTACACAAATATGTCTACAATGGGGATAGAAGTCTATCTCTGCTATTGAGGTCTGTGCTAATCTGAGAAAATAAGTAACGCTGCAGAATACTTATCATGTTCATAGAAATGGGATTCACATTTGTTTTGTTGTGTATTATTTGCCAAATGTCATTGCCTTCTGAGTGAATCAATATCTATCCAGACTGTAGCATAGTTTACAGGGTTTGGTTGAGTATAGCTTAAAGAGTTACCATCCTATATTTTGTATTCCTTTGTATGCATAGTTATAAAACCTTTGGGTTTCAGACAAAAAAAAAAAAAAAAAAAACTGTTCAAGTGACAAAAAATCGTTAAACAGCAGCCCCTCCATCAGCCTACCTGGATGCACAAAACCCTAAAAATAGTTAATGTGCCACTTTTTATAGTTGTTGTTGACACTTACAGTATTTTGCATAGCTACAGCCTGGACCAATGCATGTGTCATACCTGACCAACCATGGTGAAATCTGGAAACCAATGTAGGCACCAATGTACTGTAAGTGGGTGCCATTTACAGAACACTTTGTTTGTTCTCAATTGATGCAAAACGTTTTCTCATGGGATGAGATGGAGAGGCAATGGTGTCATGATATTAACCTTGTCCAATCAGAGAACACTTTGCACTCTTTGAATGGTGCCCACGCCCCGTGAGCGACCTACTGTGTTCACTAAGCCTCGGGGCAGCCCCTCAGTATAGGATCCAGATGCCTGCAGTGATGCCTACTACAGTGATTTCCAGTTTCCACAGGAATTGGCCAGGTATAAACCAGGCAAGCCTACAGTGGTCCCCACTAGTGCAAGTATACAAATATATGAATACCTGGAGTTCATCTGTAAGCAATATTTTCAAAGTTTTAGAGCAAACGACAAAAAAAAAGTAAGGAAAGAAAGGATCCATGGACTACATAGTCTCTGGAAGATCTACAAGAGACTGTACAGTTGGTTTGTAGTGTTTAAGGTCAACTCAAGACATACAGACATGATTATATAAGGGTAGCCAGGGCACTGACAAGAAATGTAATCATGGAATAATTATCTCATTATATAAGACTCTTCTAGGTTCTACCACGTTATGAAAGAGTCCAGTAAAACAGAAGAAACCAAGCATAGTCCTCAACGGAGTAGTATTTGCACTTTTTATTTTTATATACTGAATTTGTGAGGAAAGGGAAGAGGACATTTTAGTTAGCTTTCATCAAGACTCATAGCTGAACAGAATGGAAGCATAAGCTAAGGAGACGTTTTGAATTCCTGCACAGCTAATGGTTTTCATTATTTGAGAACTGCAGAGCGAGGAAAACCAAGTAATGTGACAACATGATAACACTGACAATAAGGGATGACCCTGCTACTAGGGCACAGTTGGTGGGTCTAGCTGATTAAGCAAACATTACAAGGTATCATACCAGCAGCAACTTACTCTACGTCTGTAGTTATGTTTTTACCTAGTAAGTACTGCTTTATAATACAAGAATGCTGCAATACAATGGCATAAAATATCATTCCAATGCTTGACCTGACGTTTGCAAAGAACACAATGTATACACCATCATTCCTCCTTATTCTCATTGCCCTAACATTTCTCCAGTATCTTTTATTTGGATTTCAAACAGCAGCAAAAATATTTAACTATACATAAAAGATCATTTGTACAGCCAAGCTTTAGTGGACCCCGTTACTTGACTTGCATGCTTTATTTTTGCTTTGTCACAAATTTCCTAGTAGCTTTAAAAATATGTCCTATGGTACAGTCATAAATTGTTTAACCACTTGCCCTCCAGAGGATTTACCCCCCTCCTCACCAGGTCATTTTTTGCGATATGGCACTGCGTTAGTTTAATCACTTGCCTACCGAGCACTTATACCCCCTTCCTGCCCGGGCAATTTTTCAGATCTCAGCGCTGTCACACTTTGAATGACAATTGCGCGGTCATGCAACACTGTACCCATATGAAATTTTTATCATTTTTTCACAAAAATAGAGCTTTCTTTTGGTGGTATTTACTTGCCACTGGGTGTTTCATTTTTTGCGCTATAAACAAAAAAAGAGCAAAAAATTAAAAAAAAAATGTTTTTCTTTATTTCTATTATAAAATTTTGCAAACAGGTAATTTTTCTCCTTCATGGATGTGTGTTGATGAGGCAGCACTGATGGGCACTGATAGGCAGCACTGATGGGCACTGATAGGCAGCACTGATAGGCGGCGCTGATGAGGTGGCAAAATAGGCAGCACTGATGGGCACTGATAGGCAGAACCGATAGGTGGCAGTAATAGGCAGCACTGATGATGCTGCACTGATATACCACAATGATGGGCACTGATAGGTGGCAATGATGAGCACTGATAGGCGGCTGATGATGGGCATTGATGGCTGGCATTGACTGACTGAACTGCTGGGCACTGCCTGGAGGCACTGCTGGGCACTGATGGGTGACACTGCTGGGCAGTACTGATGGGGGGGCACTGCTGGGCACAGGTGGGTGGCACTATTAGGCACCGATGGGCACAGGTGGGTGGCACTGCTGGGCCCTGATCATCAGGGCACTGGTCATCAATGCCCTGATGATCGGTGCCGATCTGTCCTCTGACAACTGAGACAGCGTCAGGAAAGTGCAGCCTATAACTGGCAACTGCATTTCCCCAGTGATCTGCTGTGTCATTGGAAAAGGCTGCTGTGATTGGCTTTTACCACATCACGTGATCAGCTGTGTCCGTAGATCGTTGGGTGCACACCCCCGGGGTGGGGCGCGTTATGGGGAGAACGTCATATGACGCCCTCTCAGAACTGGACAACCGCACTGTAGCCGTCATTCAGCTATAGCGCAGTTGGCAAGCAGTTAACTGACAATTGCGCAGTCAGTCATGCAACGCTGTACATAAATTAAATTTATGTCCTTTTTTCCCACAAATAGAGCTTTCTTTCGGAGGTATTTGATCGCCTCTGCGGTTTTTTTTTTTTGCGCTATAAGCAAAAAAAGACTGACAATTTTGAGAAATAAAAAATATTTTTGATTTTTTGCTATAAAACATATCCAGTAAAAAATTTTAAAAATCTAATTTCTTCTTAAATTTAGACCAAAATGTATTCTGCTCCATGTTTTTGAAAAGAAAATCCCAATTATTGTATATGAATTGGTTTACGTGAAAGTTATAGCATCTACAAATGTCGGTATATATACTGGAATTTTTTTTAAAAAATTTCTACTAATAATGGTGGCGATCAGCAACTTATAGTGGGACTACGGCAGGCATTCTGACACTGGGGGGAAACTGATTGCCACTGACATTCCAATACAGCGGTCAGTGCTAATAAATGTCACTGACACTGTATTAATGACACTGGGCAGGAAGGGGTTAACAGGGCGATCAAAGGGTTAACTGTGTGCTGTTTTACATAATGTGCTGTGTGTGTTTTCCTAGGGAAACATGCTGCCGTGTATTTATCTGTTATGCAGAGAAATACACAGCAGCATGTTCTTGCTGGTAGGAGAGAGACCTGTGTTGTTTACACACAGGTCTCTCCCCTGTCACTGTTTCTCGGCAATTGCCAGGTGCCAGTGGGAAATCTCCTGCCAGGACCCAGTGATCGACATCTGTAGCTGCTAATGACGGAGCGGGTAGGGCGGCGCGCGCCCCACCCTACCTGAAAATCCAGAAATACAAATCACGTATATGTACGTGATTTTGTGCAGCCCTGTAGCAGTAGTTCTACTATAGGGCAGTGGGCAAGAGGTTAAAAAAATCCTTTATAATAAGTTGTTGTGTCATCTATCTGATAAACTGCTGGCTCAGAAAAAATATTTGGCATCAACATGGTTAACTTCTTGCCGACCGCGCATAGCCGAATGACGGCTTCACCGCGGCCGGCCAGTTCTGAGTGGACGTCATATGACGTCCTCCCAGAACGCGCTCTCCTGCGCGCCCCAGGGGGGCGCGCACACGGCGATCTCCGTGATCGCTGTGTCCTACGGACACAGCTGATCACGTGATGTGGTGAAAGGCCGATCCCACCGGCCTTTTACCACGTGATCAGCGGTGTCCAATGACACGCTGATCACAGGGAAATGCAAGTGCCGGTTCTCGGCTGCACTTTCCTCACGCTGTCAGATCGTGAGGAAAGTACTGCCGAGAACCGGCAGTTGTCAGAGCGGGGATCGGCACCGATCATCAGGGCACTGATGATCAGTGCCCTGATGATCGGTGCCCAGCAGTGACACCCGCAAGTTCCGCCCAGCAGTGCGCCCACTAGCCCCGCCCACCCGTTCCCAGCAGTGCCCCCACCTGTGCCCAGCAGTGCCCCCACCTGTGCCACTCTGCAGTGCCACCTACCTGTGCCCAGAAGTGCCACCTACATGTGCCAGCAGCAGTGCCACCCACCTGTGCCCACCCACCAGTGCCACCCACCTGTGCCCACCAGTGCCACCCACCTGTGCCCACCCACCAGTGCTGCCCACCAGTGCCACCCACCAGTGCAGCCCAGCAGTGCTGCCAGTCAGTGCCACCAGTCAGTGCCCAGGGGTTGTGCCAGTCAGTGCCGCCAGTCAGTGCCCAGAAGTGATGCCAGTCAGTGCCGTCTATCAGTACCCATCATCAGTGTCACCTATCAGTGCCGCCTATCAGTGCTGCATATCAGTGCCGCCTATCCGTGACCCCTAATTAGTGCTGTCTATCAGTGCCGCCTATCCGTGCCACCTCATTAGTACTGCCTATCAGTGCCCTTTAGTGCTGCCTATCAGTGCCCATCAGTGCCGCCTATCAGTGCCCATCAGTGCGCCTCATCAACGCAAATCAGTGAAGGAGAAAAAATACCTTTTTGAAAAATTTTATAAAAGAAACAAATAAACTTTTTTTTTTTTCAAATTTTTTGCACTTTTTTTAATTTATAGCACAAAAAGTAAAGTGCCCAGTGGCGATTAAATACCACCAAAAGAAATCTCTATTTGTGAGAAAAAAATGATCAAAATTTCATATGGGTACAATATTGCATGACCGCGCAATTGTCAATCAAAGTGCGGCAGCGCTGAAAGCTGAAAATTGGCCTGGTAAGGAAGGGGGTATAAGTGCCTGGTAGGCAAGTGGTTAATGTACCACACACAAAAAGGCCACGGGGCCTATACAGTGAGGGACATGGAAAAGGCACCATGCTCAGCTTTTTATGTGGAAGTTGATGGCAGGGAATAATACGAAGATGCAGAAAGAAACAATAATATAATATATAACAGCTCTACAAAATGCTTGCAGCACAGGTTGCAATGAGGTCATATTGTCTCAATGGCCACAAAGGAACAAGCTCAGCTCTAGGAGCAAGGCAGTTGTATACCAAAACTGTATAACTAGTTATGAATATATTCAGTTATACCGAAAAAGAATAAAAAACAAACTACAGAATAAAGAATGGTCTTTTTAAATATGTGATTTATGAATGCATTTCAAGGGGGGAAAAAATAACAATTTGGCCCATATGTGCAGCAGCCATGATAAAAATACATACATCATTTATTTTTAGTTTTATAAATAGGTAAGGTTAAAGTATATGTAAACCCTCACTTTGTAAAAAAAAATTCCATTCAGTTAAAGATAGAAATGAAAGGCAAAACATTTGAGTATAGATTAATGACTCCTCCAGAGTATTTACCCCCCTTCCTGACCAGGCCATTTTTTGCGTTACGGCGCTGCATTACTTTAGCTGACAACTGCACAGTCATGCAATGCTGCACCCAAATGAACTTTACATCCTTTTTTTTTCCCACAAATAGAGCTTTCTTTCGGTGATATTTTATTGCGTGTGCATTTTTAATTTTTTTATAAAAAAAAAAAAGACCGACAATTTTGTGACAAAGCCTAAGGCTGCTAAATTGAGCGCAGGGGAGAGAGGCAACATAGTCATCCTTCCCTCTTGTATTCTGAGAGCTACATACCATGACCTGTAAACGGAATTCTAAACTCTTTAGAGAAACATCATGCATCAGAGTGTACCCCTATACCTAAAGTGTTACTAAACCCAGGACCCTGCATTCACTATATCTGGTCCCCCTGGACCCTGCATTCACTATATCTGGTCTCCCACAGTACACAGAACAAGGAAATGCAATTACTGTAATAAATAGAAATTGCTAAATACCTTTTCTCATCAGCAGTATATAGCAGTCTTGTGACTTCAGTGTCCAGCAGAGCACTGGTTAAAGCTTGTAGGAGGAGTTTTCATTTTGTTCTAGGAGGATGCAGAACCCCTGACCTCTGTCTGAAGAGTGCTGATTGGCCCTGTGCTGATCATATGTACTCTCCCAAGAAAAAGAAAAAAACCTCTCTAGCGGTACACACCAAACTGAGCACATGCAGCTTGCCCCCAAGCCTCTGTTCTAACAGGAGACATTTAGGAGGCACTGGAAGAAAGGGAGGATCAGAGAAGTCAGGATCAAACAGCTTTTTTACACAATGCAGAGGATTAACCCCTTAGGTTCCACAGTGAGTATAACAAGCATGCTTTACTGCATATACAGACTGATTGTACTGTTGTGGGTTTAGTAACACTTTAAAGACACCTGGGGGCAACAATTTGTCTTGCACAGTTTGCTATATATATATTTAAAGGAAAAATATAAATGTGAAAAGTGCTACAACTTAACACTTCCAAAAGAAGATCTTTTGAAGAAACATTTCCTTTGTGCCTCTCCACCTAAAAGGGCAAGTTCTGCTTTAAGGACTGGTCCCCCGCTCACCATTAAGGATTGGCACCTTTGGGGGACGGGGGGGGGGAGCGGGTACCCAAATTTGACAGGTACCCGCTCCCACATCAGGTCCGATAGCGCGGAAGGTGTCCTCCCTCCCTCCCTGTAGTCTTTTGGGACACGTGACAGGTCCCAGAAGACTGCAGAACCATTCATGAAGTGCAGCGCTACTCGCGCATGCGCAGTGGGTTCCCGGCTGTGAAGCTGCAAGCTATCACAGCCGGGTGCCCACACTGAAGATGTCGGCCTCCTGGAATCCATCTCCTGTATGGGGCTTTGTCCTTATTTTTTGAAAAATTGCACCATCAACCTAACTGCATGGATGAAGGCTGACTCCCATGGGCCTCAGTGGCTACCAGGGCACCCCACAGTAGCTCCCTTTAGGGAGTTTTTGCTTGGGAGATCTTCCACCTTTGGTTTGAGTGCGGGTTAGCAACGAAAAGTTGTTTTGTATTTATCTCAATGGCTTCTGTTTTGTTCAAAATGCTCTCTGAATAAGATTATATATCCGTATACACCTGAGGAAAGAGTGTTCTATCTCTGAAATGCATCAGGTGAATGGAGCTACATTACAAGTTTGTCTTTATTGTTGAGAGCATTGTAATTGCTGTAAAAAATTGGGGTACACACCGTTATTTGCTCTTTTATGCTAATATTGTACAATAAAGATGTTAATGTTTTTTAAGAAAAATGTCCACTTTATATGCACTGTATTTCAAAAAGTATTAGTCGGCCTGCCTTTACACGCACATAAACCTTAATGGCATTCCAGTCTTAGTCCGTAGGGTTTCAATATTGAGTTGGCCCCGCCCTTTGCAGCTATAACAGCTTCAACTCTTCTGGGAAGGCTGTCCACAAGGTTTAGGAGGGTGTTTATGGGAATGTTTGGCCATTCTTCCAGAAGCGCATTTGTGAGGTTAGGCACTGATGTTGGATGAGAAGGCCTGGCTCACAGTCTCTGCTCTAATTCATCCCAAAGGTGTTGAGGTCAGGACTCTGTGCAGGCCAGTCAAGTTCCTCCACCCCAAACTCGCTCATCCATGTCTTTATGGACCTTGCTTTGTGCACTGGTGTGCAGTCATTTTGGAACAGGGAGGGGCCATCCCAAAACTGTTCCAACAAAGTTGGGAGCATGAAATTGTCCCAAAATGTCTTGGTATGCTGACACCTTAAGAGTTCCCTTCACTGGAACTAAGGGGCCAAGCCCAACCCCTGAAAAACAACCCCACACCATATTCCCCCTCCACCAAACTTTACACTTGGCACAGTGCAATCAAGCAAGTACCGTTCTCCTGGCAACCACCAAACACAGACACGCCCATTGGATTGCCAGAGAAGTGTGATTCGTCAATCTAGAGAACGCGTTTACACTGTGCTTTACGCCACTGCATCCGACACTTTGCATAGCACTTGGTGATGTAAGGTTTGGATGCAGCTGCTCGGCCATGGAAACCCATTCCATGAAGCTCTCTAAGCACTGTTGTTGTGCTAATCTGAAGGCCACATGAAGTTTGAAGGTCTTTAGCTATTGACTCTGCAGACAGTTGGTGACTTCTGCGCACTGTGCGCTTCAGCATGCGCTGACCCTGCTCAGTCATTTTACGTGGCCTACCACTACATGGCTGAGTTGCTGTTGTTCCCAGTTGTTTCCACTTTGTTATAATCCCAGTCACAGCTGACCGTGGAATATTTAGTAGCCAGGAAATGTCACGGATGGACTTATTGCACAGGTGGCAACCTATCACGGTACCACGCTTGAATTCACTGAGCTCCTGAGAGCGACCCATTCTTTCACAAATGTTTGTAGAAGCAGTCTGCAAGCCTAGGGGCTGGATTTTATACACCTGTGGCTATGGAGGTGATTGGCACACTTGAATCCAATGATGTGGAGGGCTGGCCCAATACTTTTGGCAATACAGTGTATGTGTAACATAGTGCCGATAATAGTCCCATTCAGGGTTTTGCATTCTTATAGGGTTATATTCAAGGGATGTGGCACATTTGAGGGTACACCCACCAATATTGTATAATAAATCTGTTCAGTTCAGTGCTATATGCACCCCGCTAGGGAATGCACATTATAAGTGTTACATTTTTCAAAGTGTTAAAGTAGATGGAAAGTCATCAATTCTGTAACCACCCAAATGCTACCTCTAAAATTTCTCTACCCTGCAATGTTGTTTATGTGAAATGGCCACGTGACCACTAATCCCCAGAGTGTGTCCTTTCACTTGAGAGTGGAGATTTCCCCCAAGCACTGATGTCAGTACACTTACAGCAGTCACTCCTCTGAAAGCAAAAATGAGGGAGAGAAGAGAAGCTGTATCTGCCTATCCAGACTGAGCAGTGCTGGAGATTAGTCTGCATTTTGCAAATGTGCGCTGGAAGAGGCATCCAATGCGCACAGCTCTTTCCAACAACACTGGAGGGGGGAAATCAGCCTCTTTACAAATAGCGTTGTCGGCCCGGCACAGAAAATAGGGAACTATTCATGGGAAGGCAGGATCACAAGGTGATTTTTTTATTCTATCAAAGGATATGAATAGTGAGGGTTTATAATGAAAGCACAGCCAAGCCATTTTTTTTCTATTATTATTGTTTGGAGTGACATTTTATATTTGCAACACACACTATCTTGCCACTTTTTTGTTTGGGTATCTTAAATTACCATTCTGCCTAAATAACAGCTGAAGACTAGTTATCAACCA